AAAAAAAAAAAAAAAAAAAAAAAAAAAAAAAAAAAAAAAAAAAAAAAAAAAAAAAAAAAAAAAAAAAAAAAAAAAAAAAAAAAAAAAAAGGGAAAGAAATTTTTTTTGAACACTGGCAGATGCCACTATTTGTGAATTGTGTGAAGTCAACATTCATCATCACGGAATGAACAGCAAAGAGACCAGCTACTACGAACACATGAGGGTTAATTTGACACAAGTTCACGCCAAAACAGATCAAGAGATGTAGAAGGAGAAGAAGAAGAAGAAGAAGAGAAGAGAAAGGGGAGAAGGAAGGATGTAGGTGGCAAGATACAAGGATTTCTCCTGAATGCGACTTAAAAAAAGATATTACAATAAAGCAGGGCGGTGAGGACCCGACGTTTCGGCTGTCCGCCAACAACGCTCCTCAGGGGTCTTGGTCACAGAGGTATTGTGTGAGCAACACCTCATCAATATATCTTGCTTTGAAAGACAAGACCAGAGCACGACAGGAAGACCGGGTACCACAGTTCCAATGAAACCACCGAAACCTCGACTACGTCCAAACCAACTCTTCAAACTTCAACTGAAAACACTACACCGCACTTCTCAGGACTACAGGTATTCGATCACTTGATCACAACATTCGAGAAAGCAGAAAAACGACCACCGCGACTTGCTCAATATTGAACTACAGGCCAGGGTCTACAACAGACCCAATATCAAGAGACCTGGACCAAATACCTCGAAACAGAAAAGGAAAGAAAAACAAGTATTAGGTCCCGGGTTCGAAATCCACTACACGCAAAAATTTGACATCCGACCCCAATTTGTCAAAAGTGGGATCCAGTGATCCCAACATCCCGCAAATTTCCTCGAGAAATTAACAAGCGCACATCAAAAAAGTTATCCGGGTATTCTCTTTTCTAGATTTCAACCTTGAGAGTGAACAGAAAGAAAAGTTCGCCATCAGGCAGAGTAGTGAAAGTACGGGTCCGATGCAGGAAAAACGATATCACCGCAAGTTTTTGTCGACGATCAGAATAGGAACAGAAGTCTTGAATACTATGGAAGACAAGCGGGTGGAGAACAAAACTCTCTTGATTCTTGTGGGTGGACATGCAGAAAAGACGACAAGGATAGTCTACCAGCTTGAGCTTGCATCCAATAAAATTCCAACAACCACCATCGTTTGTCTGCTCCAAAGATAGATTCGCATCGTAGCAATTCCGAAAAGAATTCAAAATTCGCTTAGCCGTCATTAAGGAATCAAAACATTCTTCACGATACTGAACGAAGATCGATACGTCATCAACAATTTGAAAACCTCTCACCAGCTTACGATCAGCGCCCAGAGAAGAAAGAAACATGGACTCATTGAAAGCACACAACAAACAGGCAAGAGCTGGGCTAGTGGATTTGCCCATGGGAATTTCAATTTTCTGACGTAGAAGCGTGCCGGAAGCAACAAAAAAGGTATTCGCCAGCTCGAACTCAACGTAAGATAGCAACAAGGCAAAGTCCAAAAGTGTCCAACCAATTTCACCCTTCCCTTTGGTCAGTTTGACCATCTTACCATGCAGGCTAACAGAAACACCCCGAAAACCTTCGCCTATCCAGAAGTCAACTGCCCATCTTACCGCGTTTAAGATAGAGGAATAAGGCAGATTAGAAAAAATCTCCTCAATATCAACGGAGGCACCAACCATTCGATCACCCTTCTTCAAATGCTTGTTCAACGACACAATCCCCGATATCAGATCAGAGGTGCATCGTAAATTGAAATGGGACAGAGAAGGTAACTTCCATAACAAACAATTGACGGCCCGAGCAACTCTCCCACCACTCAGTGAACTTCCTTCCGAAAAAGAGGGGCAAATAGGTCGCCACCGAGTAACATCCTTGTGCTTAGGCAAGTTGTAAGCACGCCCCAGGCTACACTGTCGCTTCCACTTACCAATACAAGAGAAACCACCTTCGACATGTAGCTTCCTACATCGTTCCAAAACCTCACTCTCAGTCATAGATATCCTATCGAAAGACGAATTCTCCAAAAACAACTGTTTCATACCTTGGCCGTACACAACAGGGCAACAAACGAGCGTATCACCCAGATTATGATCAATAGGAGTACAGACAAGTCCGGATAGACGAGAGATCTGGGAGTGCACCAGGTCAACGGAGCAGCAGTCAGAAGGTGGGGGTGACAACATGCAAGAGGAAAGGTTGCCAATCGTCAATCCATCCAGCACAGAAGGGGAGAAGAGATCACAAGAAGAGAAAGACTTACGGATCTGTCGGGTGAGACAATGCACAGGGTCAATGATGGAGGGCTGCAAAATGTTCTTTGAATTCCTCATGACAGATGGGAAGAAATCGGTAGAGCCAAGACGAAAGGAAACATGGCAGTCAACACGGGGGAAGGAAACGTCACAATCCATGCAACAACAATTGAAATCACCACTACGAGCAACCTGCCGAAAGTTATGAATGATATCACCGACAGTCTGGTTACGGCACCATACAACGCAAATCCTATGAACAACCAAGGATCTCCATGTGGGGTCAACGTCAAGACTGCCGACCATGCGAGAACATGTCCGCCGAATCTCCCTTTTGCAGAGACGCTCATCATAGGTGATACAAATAATCAATTGACGACGAACTGGAACACAAAATTTAGCTCGAATAATCCGTGAAAGGATCGTCTGCAACCTGCATCGAGACGACTTCTCTTGAAAACACCGAACAACGGAAAAAACACGAACTAACCGAGTGAAATCCCAATGCCACAACTCAGATTTTGTCGAAGGGTTACTAAGAAGAGAAACCAACCGTGGTTTGTAGGCCAAGGACTGACAACTGTGAGGGACAACGGAACAAAAGGTAATTACAGACCCTCCACGCAACCACCCACGAGAACAACGAAGCTGATCATGTCCAAGAACACATGATACAACCGAGGAGCCATAACTCCGTTTGAGAACTTTTCAGTTACCAACCAAACAAGACCCACCACGACAAACGAGGGTCACCGAATGCAACTGCCTGCTGTGTGTCCGAAATTGGATTTAACGCGGGTTTCGCGTTAAAAAATTCAACGCGCGTTGGACGGGGAAAAACGGGTTCCGCAATGATTTTTTTCCTACGCCAAACATAATCGGAAAAAAAAAAATATATATATATATATATATATATATATATGGAGTCGTAGATCTTTTTGAGGTCTACGACCCCATATTTTTATTTTTATTTTTTGAGCTTTTAATATATTTAAAAAAAATAAAAAACATAAGCACAATGAAAAAACAAAAGCAAGAAATGACATGAGTCTTTTTTTTTTTGGGTTTCACAGAGATTTTTTAAGGGCTAAAAAAAAAATAGAAAAAAAAATAAAAAATATAGGGTTGTAGATTTTTCAAAGATGTACAACAAAATATTTGTTGTTGTTTTTTTTTATAACCTCGTGTATTTTTAAAAAAATCAAAACCATAAACAACATATTTTTTGGCCTGCATGGCTTAGGTAATCTTGCTGGGTAGACTCCCTGATTTGGCCTGCTTCGTTCACTGTTGTTATAACCACCACCATCAGATCATTTGTGATCTGATGGCTGGGAAGCACTCTGCCGTGATTTCCAGTGGGAGGTCTCTATTTTTTTTTTTTTTTTTTTTTGCCTTTCTCCTGTTTTCTCAGCCCGTGAACTCGTAATGAACTTGTCAGGCCGCTGCCACTCAGTGTTACACTGGATAGACCACACTCCAATCCGTCTGCTAATGGGACCATGCCCCTGGGGTGTGGTCCCATTAGCAGTCCCATAGAAGCTCGGCCGATCCAATGTGACACTGAGTGGCAGCGGCCAGACAGGTTTATTACGAATTTCTGGGCTGAGAAAACAGGAGAAAGGCCACACAAAAAAAAAAAACAGAGACCTCCCACCCGAAGTCACCGCAGAGTGCTTCCCAGCCGGATTTGGGTCACT